AATAATTTTTCGATAAAATATAATGACCAAAATAACATTGAAACTTTTTGGGGTATTTTGGTTATTTTATTTTATTAGAGATATGTTTTTTATATTTTTTACATGTGCGAGTTTAATAGAGGAGTTGACGCCCAAAATTTGGTTTCAAAATGTTTTATATAAAAAAATTTAAAAATAAAATAGTGTAGAAACATGATATTGTGATTGGGGCAATCTTGGACATCCATTCAAAATGGACGGTTGGACAAGTGGAAGTATATAAGTTCTACGTTGTAAGGGAAGCATAGAAAGATTGCCATGTATTTATTACCACATACAGTAAAAAACAGAAAATGTATTTGTTATGTGACTGCCTAACCCAATTCATGCCCACCGAGGGCATGGATACTTGTACTTTATTATTTATGGTCCAATCCTATGTTGGTATGTTGTATGTCTTGCGTGTTAGCATGTGTCCAAGCGTACTACACAAATAGAGATTCCTCAGACACAATCAGTTAGGGATTTAATTGACGAGCTAGGTGTAATGTTCCCTACTTGAGTTTTGAGAGTGCGAGACTGTTTATATCAGTCTGGCCTTCAAACGAGGCAAAGAAGTCAAAATTTGTGCATGTTTGGGCCCTCGTTAGTATTCGTTTTCCCTATTTTTACTAACGATCAAACAAAAGAGTCTCTTAATGCCTTCAAAGTGATCGTTTCACGATTTCTTAACTTTTATTGATAACTAAGAAAAGAAAATTACATCATTAGAAATAACAAGAGAAGGTAAGGACATACGACCCTTAGCTAAAGCATCGGCCGCATGATTTGCTTCACGATAAACATGGGTGAAGGAAACTGTGAATGAATCTACCAAATCCATAACCTGCACTATATAGAGCGTAACTCCCAGAGAATTTTCTGCTCTCTATTACACCATTTAATCACAATTAAGGAATCCCCTTCTATCCAACAGTTATTACGAAGATTCCTATCAAGGAAGATTTTCACCCCACACGGTAGAGTATTCAGTTCAGCATAATTGGTTGCTTGAACACCTTTTGGACCAGCATAAGAAAAAAGAATGTTACCCGATCATTTCACGATTTCTTTACCAAGAGAGTATACAATGGGACTACAGTCATCCGACATGTATGATTGTCGACGCCAAGGTTTTGAAAATCTCTGATGCAGATTGGAATCACCTTATTCGGATTGGAAATTGTTCCACCTGATCTGGTTCCCTGCATATATTTGGAATTGGCTGACTCCCTCTTTTGAATCAGCCAGCTCTCTGCCAAAAATGGCCAATCCTGTTAGTGGTCGGCCGGTTGTATTAAACCAGCACTGGCTGACATGAGGCTACCACGTATTGTTATAGGTATTTCAACTGGTTTTGGAACTTGTACAATTTCTAAAATATTCTTTAAGAATAATAGTGGAAGCCCACCAAGCTTTATAGGAACCTGTGAATTTACTACATTACCCGACACATTTTTCCCAATGTTGTGTGAGCACAGCTCACTAACTTGCTTATGTGATTACCAATTACACACTCCACTTATGGGTGGTAATGGGTTGGGTATGAGTCGGGTCCGGCTGGACCCGGAACCTGACCCAAATAGATTCGAGTCCAGGTTTTGGACCTGGGCACGATTCGTCGAGTCCAAAAATTGGACCCATAGCCGTACCTGTTAGGTCTCGGGTCCATTGTCACCCTCACTATGAGATTTTTTTTTTGCACCTTTTTTTTACTATCATATACCCTTATTATTGACAACAAGGTCACAATCGCCTGCTATTAGATTTCAAATCGTGTGATTTGTCATTTAATAAATAAAGATGACTACTAGTTCTAATTATATACGATCCTTACTACACCCAAATGAATAGGGCTTAAAGTAAAGTATTTTATCTCTAACAGTTTACAAGTACAGATCGGGTATGGTCGGGTTCAACTGGACCCGAATCCGGACCCTTATAGTGTTCGGGTCTAAGTTTTGGACCCAAACCTGAGCCACGTGGTCTAAATGCTAGCATATCTTGCATCTTTATCACAACTATTACTCATACTAAAATACTACTATTCCATAGTAGAAAAGAAGTGGCTTCAAACCCCACTTAGGATTAGCAATGGCCTGTTGGCGTGGTTGGGTCCTTTCAATTCAGCATTAGGGCTGGGATATAAAATCTTGCCCAAGGGCTCAGGCAAGGCAAACCATCTGGCTAGGCTGGGTTGGCACTATAAGGAGTGGCCCGGGCTGGGCTTGGGCAAGCCCGGCCCATTGCATGCCATATTCTCAGTCACCAGTTATTAATATTGAAGGATTTAAATTTTGCTAAAATAATGTTTTAGGTACAAATGATATCATATCATAATCATCCTATTAGTGTTTTAAAACTCATTGAGCGGACTTGCGAGTAGCTGCGTCGGCTTGGACCTAGCAGGACGCAGTCCAAGTCTCATCTAGACTCGAGCGAGTTGGTCTAGGTGCCCATGTTTTAAATTTTTCACCTAAACATAAAGATAAAGATTTTCTTTTAACTTTTTTAATGACATTTAATTCATATCCAAGCCCCATTTCGAGCAATTGGACCAAAATCAATTGATCTTGTCCTCAAAAGCATGCTTTTGGTAAAAAAAATTTGCCTTTGGGCTAGATTTTCTAAAAATAAAAATAAATCTTGCAATCTCTCTCAAATTTCTCGATCAAATTATCTCAAATTTGATTCAAAATGCTAGTCTTGGATCCTTCTCAACCATCCCTATATAAATTTGTTAGATCCAAAACCAAAATAGAAGAAATCAAATATTCGTGTGTTGGGGGTTTTTTGAACTTGAAATTGAAATTCTTTAATTTATCTCTTACTTTTTACCAAGTTAGCTCAAATTTTGTCATAAAATATTACTATCATTCTGATCTACAGAAAGTTCCTATTCTTTTTTTAAGTTAAAACAAATAATCTCTCATGAACTACAAAAAGCTAATATACTTTTCTTAAGTCAAAACAAATAATCTCGAATTTCAATGTTTTGTTCGAAAAAGCTCATACAAGGTTGGCATCTTAAAATGTAGAATTAAAGTACACTTAAAAATCCCTTGAAAAAAGTTGTTTTGATGTTGGAATAATAGCTAATTGATTATCTTGATATTGAGATGTATGAATATGGAAAAAATAAAGATCTCAATCATAAACTATATATTGTCTGTCAGGTTAATATGGAAGGTGTATATTGTAATTTGTATATTTGGGAAGGTTAGATACAATATCTTGTATTTATAAAAAGTTTGAGTATAGTATAGGAATCTGATATTTATTTCTATTCTGGTTATCTGTAATTTGTCTATAAAAGGCAAGTCTGTATATTTATACGATTAATAGATACTGAGTCTCTTCAGAGAAACCTGATACTCTTCACATGGTATCAGAGCCAGAGTTCATCTTAGTTATGTCCATTCCTCATCCCTGAAGCATTGTCGCTGATTTTCAAGACGAGTCTGTTGCTCACCCAGTCGGTGTAACTTCTATCGAGTTGTGTTTTGACTATCTGCTGAGTCGTATTTCTACTCTTTGATCTGTCTCTCTGCCAAGTCGTCTTTTGAGTCTCTGATCTGTCTTTATGCCGAATCGTGTTTCGACACTCTGAACTGTTGGATCTCCCCCTACTCTGATGTGACCATCTGTTCTTGAGGCCATCTGTTCATGAGGCTTGCTGGTTTGTTGCTAGTCGTATCTGCTCTATTCGAGCCTCTTGTTTTTTAGGCTTGTTGATCAGTTCTTGCTTTCTGTGCTTGTTGATCAACCAATCTGAACATGGTAACCACTACTTCTACTGGTCATGTAATGTACCTGAAGATCCAACTACTCTTTTATGTAATTAGTGTTCAAACTCTCATAGCATCTTAAGTTTGAGGGGGAGTGTGAAAGGAAAGTATATATTGTCTATTAGGTTAGTATGGAAGGTGTAATATGTATATTTAGGAAGGTTTGATACAATATCTTGTACTTATGGTAAGTTTGGGTGTACTATAGGGATATGAGATTTATGTATATTCTGGTTATCTATAATTTGTCTCTAAAAGGTAAGTCTGTATATTAATAAATGGACATTGAGTCTTTTCGGAGAAACCTGAGACTCTTCACAAGTAGCACATATTTCAACATATTATTCAGACTGTCTATTTTCAAGATTTTCATATGCTTATATATTAATTTGATTTCCACCATATTTTTGTTTAAATTTTATAATTAGAGATGAAAATAGATTCTCACACCATCTTGAAAATTTTCGACATCAAAATTGCATTTTATGAGAGAGTTAGGACTTGTGCATTACTTTGCTAGGACAAACCACATATGAATTTTATTTCCACCATTTTATACAAGCCACACCTTTATTATTATTATTATTATTATTTATTTCCACCATTTTTTCCTACATGTTATTATCAAATTGATTTTTTATTTTGATTATGTTTTATAACTATTATTAGATAAAGGGTGAGGTTTGTATAAGGTGTCAACCTTATCAAAACTGTGTTAAAAATGCATTTTTGGGGCTGCAAAGCTTTGTGATGATATGAAAAATCTTTTGTTGCCACCAATTATGAATTTTAAAGTTTCAAAATTGTTGACGATCAAGCATATTTATAAAACATTTGAAAATCTTGAAAATGGACAGTTCAAAAAAAGTGTTAAAAGATGAATTATTTTTCATACTAAAAATCCCTTTTTTTCATATCTATAAATCCGAAGGTCGAGATGATCGATTTGAGGGTTTTCAAGCATAAAAACAATCTTTTCTACTAGTATTTTTAAGTGCACCATAGTCGTACAATATAAGTGCACCATAGTCGTACAATATAAGGTTGACACCTTATTATATAAACTTCTTCCTTATATAATATAAGATTAAATTCAATTTTAATGCCATATTTCTTTATATTTTAAACACCGTTTACCATTATTAATACCAACCTCTCACGATCTGCGTAAGATGTCCGCTGTGATTTCCCATTATTACTGTCAACCTGCCAAGATCTCGAAAGATTTCGGCCGGAAAAATATCCACCATATCCCGTTGTACATTTTCATATTTAACCGGACATACCATACCCCGTGTCTTTTTCACATTCTGGTTTTGGATAAGAATTGGACACGCCAGACTCTCCATTTCTAGTGGTAAGGGTGGGTGTTCATTTCTGTGTTTCTAGGGTTTTTCATCTGAAACAACGATGGGAGGAGGCGCCATTAGATCAGCGTCCAAGTTCGCAAGCTTTGGTCTCAATGGAAGTATCAGAGGAGCATCTGTTGTTCCTGTTGCTGAAAAAGCAGCAGCTGCTTCTTCAAGGAAAGCTTCGAGAATATCGACCACCGGTTTGTCATCGGCTTCAGAAGATGGAAGATCGAATCCTCTGGTTTTAACACCTCAGAACAAGCCGGAGACTACGGGGTTTGGTAGATCTTCATGGGAGGTTGAGGACTGGGAATTTGCAGGAGTTGAAGAAGAGTATCCATTGCCTAGGGTTGTTTTTGGTTCGGCGCCCACTCAAAAGGAAGTGGAAGAGGCGGCTTCTGATCTCAAGGATGCCTTTGAAAAGTACTTTCTTTTTCTTATTTATTTGGTTATTGATTCATTTGTTTCTTTATTTAAGTTTTTTTAATTTTTTTATTGTTTTGATTTATCGGATTCTTGTGTTATGCGAGTATTCATCGTTTTCTCCCAATTTTTATGTTTATGATGTTTCCTGAAAACTACATGAAGAAGAAAAAATGTCATTTTTTTGTTTTCAGTCGTTTCTTTTGCCTGATGAATTTCTTATTTTTGAATTTAAATTTACAGTTCTGCTTTTTCCTGTTTTTGAGAAGTCTCCACATCCCAAAAGTGTTGCTTTGTAGCCATGACTCTCAAACGAGGAGACTAATTAAATTACTCTTTGTAACCATCCCAAAAATTTAGGGCATTAGTGGAACTCTATTTATACCTGTTCAGTGTACAGAAGCAAATGATCTCATTACGTGATTAGTAGTTAAGGATTTCATTGATGATTTGATAGGCAAATCTCTGGATTATGCTGATCATTCTTTTCCTATGTCTTTGCTTTTCCTGTTTAGCTGGAATCAACTCATAAATTTTCCCTCTATTATGATAATATTTTGTAATAAGTACCATGCTATAGAGATATATCTTGATTTTTGCTGATAATTAATTTTTTTATGGAATTAATCAGTAACTAATAGTATTTTTCGTAGGGACCCGGCCATGGGTTGTATCCTTGGATTGGGGTGCGGTGCTAGTTAAATGGATGGATGTTTCTTAAAGGTTGCCTAGATGCTTGGCTGAGAGACTGTCAATCTTGCAACCAAACTAAAACAGACAAAAGGTCTGGAGGCACAGTAATACCCATAAGCATTGATTTAGCCATGCTGAGTTCATACCAGGCGCTAGTTTGAACAGCCTGAGGAAGAGCCAAAGCCTATCAGCTTCAACATTGGAGGCATCGCAAGAAACAAGGGTGCCATGCACATATTGGAGATGGCAAATTATGTTGTCTACTCCTTAAGATTTGAAGCTAGGGAGAAAACCTCGATGGTGGAGTCTAGGGGGTGACCTACTAAAACCTTGCCAACATTCACAAAGAGGAAAAGTGATATAGGATCGGCCTTGTCAACGCTTCTGGTGGTGGAGAAGCAGCCCTTCGGAGAGTCACTAATAAGGATGGAAAAAGAAGCTCAAGTGACACAACTAGAAATCCGTTTTCTCCCTTTTAGGTCATAGCTCATTATGTAGAGTATTTTATTAAGAATGGGCGAGTACATATGGTCCTAAACTTTTTACCAATCCGATTTAAGAATTAGGCTAGGTATTTTGGACAAATGTCTAGAGTGGATTGCTTCTCCTCATTTAATTTTGGCGACTGTGGACAAAACCACTTTGGTTGAGAGAGATGATATCTTCCAGGACAGGTCTTGTTGTCTGGACCTTAGACAATATTAGTATGAAGAACCGAGGAGACCAACGAGTCTGAAATCTTTAATATCATTTGATCCCTCAAAGTTTGGGACTAAAGTGATGAAAGTGGCATTCATCTGTTTACTAATGATGCCCCTGTGATAGCATTCACTAAAAAAGTGAGGATAACAGGGGAAAGTGTCTCAAAATTTGGAAAAATAATAACCGAGAAACCATCAAGTCCCGGTGCTATATCTTTTTGAGATCGGAGATCGCCTGGAGATTCATCAAGCTCTAAAGGTCTTTGGAGCCAACCCGCTCTATCTAGGATGAAAGAGAGAAAGGAAAGATTTGACATGTGGGAAAAAGGACCAGGTTGGGGGGAGAATAGGTTCTGAAAGAAGGAGATGATGGCTGAATCTACAGTAAGGGTATCCTCAAAAGATTGCTGTCCTAACAATATATGAGTGATTGCACCGGTCTGACACCTGTCCCCTACAATAGGGGTATACTTAGAAAGAAAGCTGCTTGATTCTGGATCGTTGGAACCATAATAGTTCCTCTTCTTTGTGTAGGTCCATGTAATTCAATTGAACCTCCCATCTTCCAGTAGATTCAGAAGAGTTAAGAGCCCTAAAACTCTTCAACGGTATCATGTTCATTGATTATGTGAGCAAGGAAGTCTTGACCTTGTTACTGGAATCCTTGCCATAATTCTGTACTATAACTGTCTATTGCCTTGATAATGTATGAGTTCGCTTGAATAGGTCACTCCTGAGAGAAAAAGAATGTGAAAGAAAGCAGCTCAAAAGAGATGGGGCATACCTTTCTATTGCAATTTCTCACACATGTGAGGTTGTGCCACATTTCTAATCGAGATTTTTTTTTGAGAGTGTGTCTACATGAGATTCTTATGATAATAGCAGTGGAGATTTGTGTTTTGGAAAGATAATAGATATTAGTTGGAATCTGGACTTTCTTTGATGAATGGCAAGAAGCTTTGCTAAATAGCCTTTTTGAGAATTTGAAACCTGGACTCATTTTATGATTGGAAGCAGTCTTTAATTAAAATACTTTCCCTATGAATATGGGATGTCAAGATTAAAGCTTGATCAAGCATCTTCTGACGAGTGCACTGGAGCGGAAAAATGGCCTTCCAAGATGTTGGAAAATGAATAGGATTCTATGAGCCATACATTGCATAATGTAGTGTGGAATTGATAGAGTTGGTCCTGGAGATATTCACAAATACATATAAGTGAATAAGACCTAAAAGATAAATATGACCTACAGCTCCTATACCAATATTTGACATTGTACAACATGTTCATATTTGGTGTAGCTGACAGTGATCACATAAATTTAGTTATTTGCTGGGTGGCCTAATTAATATAATGCTACATAGAGGTATGAATCTGAGGAAATTATGTTTGAGATTTGTATTTGGAGATCAGGTTTGAATATTAAAATTTTCAGTAATTTGAATAAAAGACATTACATTGCTTTCTATATATTTAGATTTTATATTATCCTGATGTGTGTTATTCCGTGCACACTTGGCTGTCCATCTGTAGTTTATATATATGAATATCATGACTTATGACCATCTCAAAGAGCTTCTTAGCCATACCCAATTGGTGATCTTAGTATAGCCTGTGATCATTAAGGTCCATGAGTATGCATCTCTCATGGGCATGGACACTTCTTTGACATGGTCGTTATTCATGTATGTTGATAACATGCATTCCATGATATTATATTGTGTGATGGCAATGAATTGAAGAGCCGTGATTGCATGAGTCATTTTTTCAAATAATGCGACTATGTCCCATAGCTTGCCGGCTTTGTCATAATTGGTGATCTTCAGGTTTTGAGAGAAGAGGAAGCCTCCCCCCATTTCTTGTCCCTTTGAGGTGTTGGACTGGAATGGAGGGTTTATCTTTTCTGATTAGACCAAAACGTAAGGAGTTTCTCTTGCTTAATTGGGCCTTGCTAAGGAACACAGGCAGCAGCTTTGGTTCCTTGGCAATGTTTTTCTCTCTTTACTCTTTACTGTATCACTATCATAATAATGCCAGGGCTTGTTATTGTTTCTCTTATTTTTAATCCAGAGGGACCTAAATGCCTTAAATAATATGAGAGGGAGACTGCCCAGAATGTGTGTGTGTGTGTAGAGGGAGAGATGAATGTACTGATTATTCCAAGACCATGGATGGAATAAACTGAAAGAGTGAGAAGCACCCACATGTCTAAGTAAGATAGAAGCCAAAATCTAAACAGTGTATAGACCATAGACTATAGAGAAACCAATTGGACTTAAAATAAAAGACAGTAATAGAAAGAACCCAAAATGCCTGATAAATAAGAGAGAACCCGAATGCACTTGCCAATATTCCAAGACCAGGATCAACAAACTCGATTCAGCACTCCCAAAAGACCTGCAACTCAAATTCCATGGACTATCTCTTTACCGCCCAATTCTCTCTCTGCCCAACCCGCCACTCTGTCTCAAGGAGGCAAGGCAGGCCCACGCCCTCTTCACAGTCTCTGGCCTCCGTCGCCTAGTCTCTACTGCTCGCTTGATCACCATGTACTCTCTTTGCAACGACCTCCACTTTTCAAGTATCGTCTTTTTCAACCACCCCGCAAAAAATAATACATTCCTTTTAACCCACTTATTTTTGCTTATACCCTTTTTAATCAGCCAACCGAAGCTTAAGGGGTTTGGAAATCTTAAGGGGGTTGAGCAATGGGGACTTTTGGGATTGAGGTACGGAAGCAAGAAAAATGGCTTAAGTGTTTGGAGGAGAAAGATGAGCAGGAACTCTAATGGGTCTGAAATTTAGAGGTGGAGGGAGCCCCAAGAACCAGTAGGGGGGCAGCAGCTTGGGTTCAAAGCTGGGTTTTCTAGAGAGTGAGAGGTTGGCTTGCATTCTTGCAGCTGCTTTTTCATCTGTGTAGAGAGAGAGAAAGAGGGGGGGAGAGACAAAAAAATTTGACAGAGAAATTGAATCTTGCAAAATTCAACTACAACTTGAATTCTTGGGGATTTAGATATTTGGGGGTTATTTGAATAGTAAAGGATATGATTTGACTCCATCAAACAGGGTATATAAAGTAATATAATTAAAATTACAATAGATTCTCTATTCTCTTAAAATATTTGGATATCAAGGTTCTAGCAAACATACCCTTAACCTTAATTAAAAGTTCTGATTTAAGAAAATAAATGAAAGGATATCATTGACTCCTGATAACATCATGAGAGACATACAGCCCTAAGAAAACTTGTATAGGTCATTGAGATATAAGCCCTGGTAAGGTTCAAGATCATCAAATCATCAAAGTATTTTGTTTTTCTTAAAGAACGATAGATTCACATTCTTGTGGCCTCAAAGTGTGGCTATTGCCTATTTAATAACTTTACATATGATCATCCATGCAGTGAATTCAGCTAATGTTTTTTTTACCAATAGATTCAGAGAAATGGAAATTTAAAATGTATGCATTTATCTTAGGTGGGTTTGATGTGATTCTTACTTCTAACCAGTGGTTTAAAAAATAGATTGGTGCCCCGGATCAGGCTCCCAAAAAACCCATCCGGATCGGTGAATCGGCGATTTGAATTGGGAATCGGGCGAATTGGTTGGATTCAGCCTTAAAAAAGTCTAAAACAATTATTAAAATTCATTATAAATGTTGTTTTTTAATAATCCAATAAGAAATGGGGGTACTCCATTAATAACTTCCATTTTTTTGCATCAATATGTAAATATTGAGATGTTCTATGTGAATATTGAGATGTACTTTCTCTGTATGAACTGCTGTTAGTCATTAAATTTACATCACACAAAAGGTGAAGCATAGAATTATCATGGATGAAGTATAAGTCTCTAAAAATAGTTTCTAAACGTAATTAGGAGTGATGCATTATTTACTTTAATTACTTTGCAAAAATAGGTGAATACTGATACGTTTTTTTGTCTGAATGTCAATATAATTATTAATTGTTGTATAGTATTATAATATTATAAAAAATAATAATTTCCCATATAAAGTGAAATTAGAATCATATCAAAGTATTAAATATTTATTAATTCACTTTACTCATCCAAAACTATCACAACCGAACTAACTATAATATTATATAATACAATTGAAATTGTTGGTTTATATTTTATAATTATTGTACTAAACAAATAAGAACAAATCTAAAATGTCTTATAATATCATCTAACTTAAAAAATTTATTTACAACTATAAGAAGAATAATACATTATATAATTTATAATATAAATAAAGCAATAAATAAAAATACAAGTTTGATTATCAACATATAATTATTAATTATAATATTATAGTAAGCATGATTAAAAAATTATTAGAAAATGCTTCAATATCATATGATTAAAAATAAAAATAAAAGCCCCAATAAATTCTAATGTTATGATATTAAAAAATTCAAATAAATTTTATCCAAAAAAGTGAAAATAAATGTATCAAAATTCAAAGAACAATGCCTAACGACAACATGCACAATAGTTACAAAAACATAAAAATACATATAGAAATAAAATTTATCAAAAAAACCATTTTACTAATAAATAGCTAAAACTTTTATATGGCAGCAATTCATTTAATTAAAAAAATATGTTGATGAGGCTCATTGAATATGACATACTAATTTGGAAACATGATATGCTAAACAATATGCTGTTTTAGATGCTCATTAATTAACTGCTAATGAGCATGTTAATTAATGATCATATTTAGATGCTGTTTTGAGATGCTCATTAAATTTTTTAGGTGTTGTTTTGAGATGCTCATTAAATTTAGCGTCTCATTAAACAATATGCTGGCTTTTAGATGCTCATCAATTAATGGCTCCTTGCAAGTTAAAAAGATGGGAATTGTCTCACATCTCACAATGGGAGGGTAAAAGGGTCATATAAAAGCCAGGACTTTTATCTCATTCTCGGTTGGTTGTTGACTATGTGGAAAAGCTAACAGCTTTTGACAGTTACGGTAGGTTGTGTACTGAGGGTGGACGTTCCACAACGCATGTGGCGTGTGATGGGTTCTGGGGCTTACACTACGTACCTTTTATTATAAAAAAACCCTAGTTCTCACGGAGCCCGATAATTTCGGGATCCGGATCGCTCTAGGTGATTCTTGATCCGGATCGGGCGATTTCGATCCGGATCAGCGATTTTTTAAACACTGCTTCTAACCATGCACACAGTGGTGTTCTGACATTTGCTTGGACTTCAACACAACTCGGATCAGTGAGATCCCATAAATACTTCTATAGGACTAGAGATGGGACAATGCAACTTTTAGTTTTCATTGATAAGATTGATTTCAATGGGTGAAATGGCTAATGACCTAATCACTTTCCTTCACATTATTCTATTTCATACCTTACTAGTTTCAAAAAGAAATTTCTGCCCTCTGGACAGTGGCTGTGGCATGCTTGCAGCTATGAGGAGCTGATTGGTTTGCCTTCTTCTATGTTGAGAATCATTGTTAGAAAACTCGGGCGATTCCACTTGAACTGGCCTGAGTGACTTGGTCTCGGCACCTTACCAAGCCTGAAACTGCACATTTGGAAACCGCCTGAGTCTGGTTGGGTCCCAATATTTTAATTTCTTTTTGGACTCATCCGTGTCTCTGATAGAGTTGGGCTTGGGGCCCTTTTGAGTCCCAACCCAAATTCTTGTTATTCAACACTGTTAAGGATTGTCCTATTCAAATGATCCTCGGATGATGTTACCTTTTCAACTCCTTTTTCTCTATAAATTACTCTAAATAAATGACCCTTTTTTGTTCTTTGGTTCGATTTGGCCAAGGAAGCTGATATGCCCACTTGACAAAGTGAGGTAAAGTGAGGTACTCACTGGAAGCTTGTAGAGGTGAACTTTTTGGCTAAACCTGATTGGGATCACTAACACATTCCATTTTCAGGAATAACTTTTTTTTCACTCATATTTTTCTAGAAAATTTACGTGTGATAATTCCCCTAGTTTACATTGACCCTTACTGCATGAACACTAAACTGAGTTTTCTGTTGGATGTTAAAAGAGGTAAAAAAATGTTTGAGTTGCATTTGTAGCTTTTTCATGGCATAGTCTCACCATTTGATGCTTTTAGCTAGCTCCCCCCCCCCCTGTTCCTTTCTACATGCTCATGCATGTGCTGGCACGCATGTGCACTTGATATAATTTTCACTACAGAATGGATATAATGACAAGGGATTAGAGATGCAGGTCAATTGAGGCATTCCTCTCATGGTCAGAGCACACTTCCAATTCAGGCTGCAGTCATCTTACATATAAATTAATATAGCTGAGTGAAGACTTTGATTACAAAGGATTATAATCTAAAGTTTTGGATGTTTTCTGGTTCCATTACATACTCAATCCATAGGTTCCCTAGAATGCCTCTTGATGTATCATTGTATGTATATATCATTGGTCAAATGTTAGTTCATGTTTGCAACCAAATACTATTAATTAAGAAGTGTTTAGAATGGAAAGAAAATTATGTAGCCTGAACTCAAAAAATTGTAGAAAGAATGTAGTGAAGTAAAAACAATGAAATATGTATGTCTTACCTTATACTGCAATTATTTTCCTTAAACCTAGTGTATCAAAAAGCGCTAGGCAGGTCCTAGGCGGCCGAGGGGTCCAGGCCGCCTAGCTCCTAGGCAGGCGCCCAGAACCTGGGCGGATGCCAGTTGAAATTTGAAAAAAAATAAAAACCATACCAAATTATTACCAATATAATACCATATTCCAAGTTGAAAAAAAAAACAGATAAACGTTGAGAAGAGAATTTTGATAATCCATATTGTTAAAACAGTAAACTGTAAAACCATACAAATGTAGGTAGGATATAAAAGTCAACACTCAACACAACAGAAATTTAGAAAATATACAGTATAAGTTAACACTCATAACTCAACACAATAACGCTCGTCCTCTTCTGTTTTACAAAATATACATATATAAGGTAAGAATTTGGTATGGTTTGTACCTGTACTTCCAAGGGGCAACATCCCCTTTAATAACGCTCGTCCTCCTTTGTTTTATCATTTGGTTTTGGGTTGTACCTATACTTCCAACCCGGATTATTTTTTCTAGGAGTAGCAGAAATAGATCTGTGACAAGAATTTTCTTCTTGTTTTTGTTTTGCATAACTTATAAATTGCTTAATCTCCTCTCTGATAGCTTCAGAAACATTTTTACAAGAGCCAACATCCCCCTTTAATACCGGCAAATGTTTCTTAAACCAGTTTATGCCTCCTTTTGTATTTTTTTCATAAAAATTCCATCGAACTCAATGTTTGTCATTTGGATTCGGGTTGTATCCATATTTCCAACCCGGATCTCCACTTCAACTAACTCCTGAAGAAGACATCTCAAAAGAAAACAAGCAATCTAAAAGTTGCTCTCACTTTGGTTGCTCGAATTCCAAACTTTGAGAGACACTTTGATGATTCGATGTAATGAAATCTAGTTTTTTGGAGGTTTCTTTCTCTCTAAAAGGGTTTCTTAGGGGTTTAGGTTTCAAATGAACCTAAAACCCATATTTCTAAACTTTTATATCTTGGAAAAAACGAAAAAAAAAAATTTTCCTCCTCTGGGCGGGGCGTAGGCCCTGGGTGGTTGCTTAGGCGGGTTCTGTATCGCTTAGGCGGCCGACCACCGTCCAGTTTGGCCGCCTAGGCTTGTGTGATGTGCCCAAGCCTTCTGGACCGCCTAGGCACTGGGCGGTCCGCTTTTTCGAACAATGCTTAAACCTAGAGTAAGTTTTAGGTAGAAGTTTAGACACTGAACGTAGTATGTGACTTATATAAGAAAAAGACTTGGAATGACTTTTTTTTGGGGTTTCTTTTGTTTCTTGTAAATTTAACAATGTTTTAATATTCTGTTCTATTTTTCTTATTATTCGTGATAAATGTGTGGTGCTTGAATGTCTTTTTCTCCACTTTCTTCCTGAAATAGTTGCATATTCGTGGATGTGTGCAGGGCTTATCTTTCAACTTCCACTACAGTAAGTTCCGAGGTCTCTTCTGATTTCATGCATGGAGTGAACTCATCAATGCCTTTTAACCTGGAAGATTCAGAGACTAAAGCATGTGTGACTAGTCAGAATGCAGTTGCATTCCCTTCAATGCAGAGTAATGTTATGCAGGCATTTTCCTTGCTCAAAGAAAATTCTGACGTTCAGGTTTCTATTTTGACTTTTCACCATTTTGTTTCCTTTACAGAATAGTGCAATAGAGTTTTTTGTTGTAGCTTTTCTGCATTAACTAATTGTATTTATATTTTTCCTTTATAGAATGGTGCAATAGAGATTTTTGCGGTATCTGTATTAACTAATCATATTTATGTACTTTTTCATCAATCATTAAAGGCACAACAGCTAAATATGCTAGCATGGAGGAAGTTGACTTTATTTTTTTATAAGAAAATGAAATTAGTTTATTTTTTGGGTGTGGGTCTCTTTTAAAGAGACTTGTATTGTCATTACTAAGCAAATTGATGTTATTCACAAAGGGTGTATATGACATGTTGTCAAAGTCATGCATGAAACCAAGTTTCATCTGTTTATGTTTTTTGTCACCTTGTAAAAGGGTTTTTGGCAGTGTTGTCAGATTCTTCTTAGCTTCGGCCGAAGAGGCCGAAGTCTTCGAATTTTAGGCTTAGATTGAAGCGAAGCGAAGTCTGGTGCTACTGCTTCGGTCGGTTTCGGGTCGATTCGGCCAAAGCAAAGAAATGCTTTTTTTTAAATAACAATAAACAAGTAGAGAAGGAGAACAGTCGTGGGAGGCAAGGCACACGAGGGGATAGG